TCTCCAATAGATCCACAAGGCGGTCAAGATCTGAGCCGACATGAGATACATACGTGATTCAAGTGATAGTATATTTCATGTTAAAGCAAGTCATAAACAAAAGTTATAGGGTTCCGCTACGAAAGCGGGTTTAGAAAATGCTAGATAAAGAAGATAAAAAGACCTAGCTACGGCGGGGTCGGTAAGCGCAGAAGAACTAACAAGATCTAATGAGTTTTGCGGAAGGAATCTAGATCAAGAAAAATTACATTGGAATGAAAGTTGACCAGCTTTTGAATACCTCACAATGACAAACGCAGTGGAAGAAATGAGAACTTACATATATGTGGAAATGGGTCGAGCTTGTAGGAGATTGTGCGGAGGCCGCGTTTCCTCCGACAAAGTTCCAGCAATGGCCTCCCCGATGTTGTGTTCGACGGTTGAACGAGACGGTGAGCTTGAGGTGGCACAGGACGTCGGGGGCGAGAGGACGAAGACGAGGGCGAGAGGAAGAAGTAATAAAAGAGGACCGAGGGGTTTGTCGTGTTTCTACAAGGGTGAGAACCCAAAATGGCAGGCGTGAAGCCATGGGATGCACATTATTTTTTTGCTAAAGGGGCTCCTCGATTCTCGCACCTAACAAGACGGCACATTTCCACTTAAAAGATCCGTTATGACATCATCTGCTGAATTTGGGAAGATGGACAAGTGATGTCATGTTATGGAATGGAACGGAAAGATGCTAAGGCCCTGTTTGGATCATGGGGTTAGAGCTAGTTTGGGTTAGTTGGGGGCTCAAATAATCCAAAAGTATCCAAACAGGGAGGGTTAGAGTGGGTAAGTTCCATCTAACCCAACTATCCTGATGGAGATGTGCTTATTTGGGTTAGAGTGGGTTAGAAAATAACTCTAACTCTAACTGTGTTAGAGTATCCGAATAGGGCCTAAGTGTGGAGTCTCCGTAAGTCGGCTAAACCACTTGACTCGGCCAAAGTATCTGGAAAGGAAGAAGCACGGATCACACGAATAGTTTTCCTGGCTTAACCATGCAGACCCGGGTTGATCTTTGATATTCTTCTTTCCCTCGTTTCTTATTTTGTTTTTCATGTATATAATTTAGCATGGATAAATCCAAGCTAAAAAGGGGGCTAATGTTGGGGATATTTCCTTGCACTATGACCCGACAGGAGGAATGACCCGGCCCAGAGCGCACTGGCTCACGGGTCACCTCAACCTGACGGATCATCACGCGGCGGAAGGCCCAACAGATTAAGTAAAGGTTGGCTCGTGGTGACATTTGATGGGCCGGCTTGACGAAGGCCCGAAGATGAGGACTCCTTCCTTGGGAGATCAGTAGAATAGGATGCGGGTCGTAGTACGACCCGGACTATGTTGTAAACGCAGGGACTCAACCTATTATATAAAGGGGAGCCCCTGGGGGAAAGGCTAGGTTACAATCATCGAGAGCTAGGTTAGCGAATTTGCATCCTTGTAATCGAGATTTCTAGCAATATTAATCAAGCAGGAAGTATGTCTTTACCTCCATCGTGAGGGGCTGAACCTGGGTAAACCCGTGTCCTTTGTTTCCCGATCAACCACTCTCAAGCACCCTCCTAGTTGCGATGGCCTCCGGACTTAGTCCTTTCACGAGGACATCTGCCATGACAACCCTCTTGCCCGCATTGGGTGCAAGTATTTGCTTTTGTGTGTGTGCAGGTACTGCTTACTAGGCATTTGCGTGGTTCTCATATTTGTTTGATAACCTTGCTTCCCATTGACGGAAATACTATCTGCTACTATATTGCTTCATCCTTCCTCTTCGGGGAAAATCCTAACGTGGCTCACAAGTAGCACGGGTTCGTCCTGACGTTACTACTTTGGTGTCTATAGGTGGTCGCCAAGCTTGCCTCGAAATCAGAGGCCGGTGGTTTGGATGCTAGGTCGAAGAAGAGAAGGAAAGTGATGGCAGAACCTGTCATGGCGGTGTTACCTTCCCTTTTCCCAGGGGCTAGCGAGATGGGGATAAATGTGCCTGAGGAGACCTGGGTCATGATGGACGCTGTGAGCGAGGAGATGAAGCTCTTCTGATATGCCATCCAGAGGGGTGGCCTCTCTGTGGTGCCGGATTCTCGATAAGGCTTCTTGCTCCTCGGATTCGATTCTTGGTAAGGCTTCTTGCTCCATAGAATCTGTTTTTGTGCTTAAGGTAATGGTATCCCCGGGACTAAGTGTGGTTCTTGATTGGAAACGTGCTTTGTTTTTGTTGTGTATTTTCATTTCTGCCTTGTAGCTCCCGGGTTTATAAAATGCATCTTTCTCCTTTGTCAGGGTCTAGCGAAGCGGAACCACGAACTGGACACTGACGTCACCAGCTTGCGGCGCACAGAAAACCAAACGAGGACCTGGAACGTCTTTGTACAAGCGTAGTTCATGAGTCCTCCCTTTATGTATGTTACACCTTTGGCCTTGTAGCTTTGTGTATGGTCGTTGACCCTCTTTTGTCTTGCGGCCCTCGAGCAGGGCGCGCAACTTAGGCATGATCTGGATGAGGCGAACCGCGTGTGTGATGAGGCTCGGGACACTGCGCGGGTTACTGAAGCAGAGCTCGCTAGCCTGAAGGAGACCATGCGCGACTTGGAGGCCTGCGGAGTCCCGCGAGGCCAGCTCAAAGAAGGCAAGGGCGAGCAGGGCCGACTTCGCAATGAGGTCAGGACCCTCGAGGTGGAGCTCCAGCGTCGGAGCGAGAACTGCAAAAAGTATGAGGGGGAGATTCTGTAGCTCCGGAAATCCACCTTCGACATGTCCACCGAGCTTCGCCAAGCGCAAAAACACTGCGAGCATCTGGAGATCGCTGCACAACGAAAGTATTTGATGTCCTTGTCCGTGTGCGTGGAATTTGCAAGTCATGCGTGATGTTATGTGTTCCTTTCCTTCACAGTTTGCCTTCATGAGATTCATATTGAAGATGCTGAGGAGCGGCACCGCAAGGTCGCAACACAAACGCAGAGGATGAGGGTCGCTCTTGGCTCCGTGGCTGGGATCCTCTGGTACTAGGACCCGACGCTCCCACGAGACTTGAATGGCGTGCTGACGCTACTTCAAGACTCTCCCAACCCGAATGATTGAGTGGCAGTTCTCCAGGGCCTTCGATGGAGCGCGACAAGTTCTAGCCTCGGTCTGGGCTCACTTTCCAGACCTCGACCTAGGGCAACTTGTCAGGACCGAGGTGGGCCAGCGACCGTTAGCCAAAGATGTTCTTCGAGGAGGTCTGAAATGACGCCAAGTTTGCTGCTGGGCCTGCGAGCTGCATGCCATAATTGAAAGAGATAGTCAAGTTGTAACTGGCTCGCGTTGCGCGTGATACACTGTAACTTGAGTTTTATGAAGTGGGAGCCCCTGTCATGGTCCGGTTTGCACGCGCTGGCCAGAGCAGCAGAGCTAGGGTATGATTCTCAGCATTTGTTGAAGACTTCTGCTCGCATTGTGTGAAATCTTGGTCAAGGTGCCTAAGGCCATGTTCGGTTAATCGCCTCAGCACTAGGATTGAAGGGGATTGGGGAGGTTTGAGGGGGATTTTGACTTGCAAGGGATTTAATCCCCTTCAAACCTCCTCAAACCCTGCCTAACTGAACCTAAAGGAGGCGATCAGATATAAGTAGTAAGCAGTCCTCACAAGAAGCAATATAACTGTTTCTAGCTTAAACTCTGTATAAGCAGTGCAAAAGTAATATGGAAAACCAGTACTAGTTTGGTACACTATGATCTGCGTTAAAGTTCAACCTTGGCGAGTTGCATTACATGAAATGTCAAAAACATACTCCCTCCGTTCCAAAATAGATGACTCAACTTTGTATTAACTTTAGTACAAAGTTGAGTCATTTATTTTGGAACGGAGGGAGTACAAAGAAACAAGAAATCTAGTAAGAACCAATCTATAATCCTGCCTCGAGAAATAAACCATTGTTGGTTGAATGCAATCATTTGGGTTTACTGAATTCCAGTATAGATGAGCTAAGCATTGTCGTGTAAAGACCTATGCTAAACATTACGCAAATATTAATAGCACCATGAAACATGGTTAATACCTCAGCATTTACTGGACATGGTTAATACCTCAGCATTACTGGTCAGGTGCAAAAATAGGACCTAGCTGCCCCACAACACAAGATAACAGGAAAGTTAGTGACTGGTGAACATGAGCATCAGTGCTTATCCAAATCTTGATGAACCAAGCAAAATGAAAATAAGAACATGACCATCAGTGAATACATAATTAAGTCCTTAACAAACAATGTAAACATCAGATACATCACCCACAACTCCATTTATTAGAACTACAACATAAGCTTTCCACAGACCTTTCATGATAAGCACTTGAAAAGAGAGAGACAGTGTCTTTACTGATGCAATGCGTGCGTGTCCTAGTCCCTACCCTCAAGCTCCAGTGTCCTTTTTCCTTTTTGTGTTTGTTCTTGGGTGCTCACTCGGTTTTCCCCAATTAACCGGGCATTGTTAGGTTTTTGGATACGGTTTTCCTTATAAACTGGATCATCTCTATTCCTCTCAATGAAATGCAGGAACCCTTTGCCCTCGCATGAGGTTCTTCAGAAAAGAAAAAAATAAGAGAAAATCTCAAAACATGCCAACATGGGAAATGACAATATGCATTTTCAAGATATCAAGAACGTCTTAGAAGACTAATCAGGAGAAGCTAATACGGCCACCTGAACTCTGGAGCACACTATCAAATAGCCGGGTAGGTATACGTTAGCTCTCGAGTAACACAATGAGAATAACAAGGATAAACATCTCCAAAAATATGTATATAACTATATTAAGAAGCATAGGCAAGTCTGAAAACTAAATAGTGCAAATTATGCTCCTGGCCTTATATGAAAAAACATAATACAAGAATCCAGAAGGCAGCAACTAACAAAAATGATCTCCATGATGGCCATTGAAGCTTGGTTGTAATAAGCATTCCCCGCGTTGCCCCGTAAGTAAACTGGGATAAGAAAAACTCATTTCTTTCTCCCACCGCGCTCTCTCAGAGTTAGATTGATCACCACCCCAGGGCCAACATTGTAATAAGCAAGAGAAAGATTGTCTTTGAGGAAACTAGTTCTCACACTCAACTTCTGCTTATTAGCAGGAAGCTGCAGCTCTCCAGCAATCTGCTCCTTCAGACTGCCGACTGTGTCTGAGAGTGACTGGACAGAGATCTCCAAAACTTGGCCTCGCAAGCTTCCTTCATCGAGGTTGGGTACAGAAACCAAGATGCGCGCAGGGCCCTGTAGAAATAAGTAAATTAGCATGACACTGCAGGATAATAAGAGAAGTAATTAGAGTCGAAACATATGAAAAGAAACATTACCGGATGCTGAACAAGAAACTGCTCAACTGGGATCAGAGAAGCATCATCTGTTTTCTGCCTCTTTGGTTCTGGTTCCTCAGGTAGAGGTGGCTGCTCCTCGGCAGGTGGTTGTGGAGGCAAAGGTGGTGGAGCCTGGGGGATTCCGATGGGGTTGACCATGGATGGCGTGGTCTGCATGTGCGGGGGTGGCAGCATAGGGAACCTTGGTGGACCAGGCATGAACTGAGTAATATGGCCTGGACGAGGGGGGATATTGTTTGGCATAGGACCCATGGGACCTGACATCCTAATCATCTGTGGGTGCATGTTGGACATCATATGTGGAACTCCTTGCTTATGATGAGCTGGGGTTTGGAGATGATAAGGCATTGGATTTGGTGTAAATCGGGGAACATTAACCAAAGAAAGTGGTTGAGGAGGCTGGGGCAACGGCATGACAAACCGGGGAAGTGGAGTTGGACCTGGAACATTTGAGGCATCAACTTGTTCTTCACCACCCATAGACATTGCCTGAGTGGCAGTTTGACCAATGCTACCAGAATGACCATCCCAAATAACCTGCTTTGGCTGCTCATCCTTTTTCTTTTCAATTTCTGCCTTGACGGCATTAGAAACCTCTTCCTCAGTTGTTCCAAATATGTCTGGCCTTGTCCGTGCAAGACCAACAATGTTATTGACGACCTCATCATCTGGAGCAAGCGTGGTCTCCTTAATCTTGGCCAGCATTCTTTCCTTCTGTTCCTTGTACTTCGGGTCAATGAGCGAGATGCGCATGTGTTCCCCCATCTCGCTAATCGGAATGAGCTCTCCGGTTATTGTTGAAACAACAAACTTGGTCGGATCCCTCGCCGTAGGGATCCTCTCCTCGGGCCTCTTATAGTTCTTGACAATTCTCATAGGCGGCTCCTGATCACCGGCCACCCTAACTTGTGCTCCTCCTCCGTTCTCCTCAAGCCTTGCTGCCTTCATTCCTTCCTCAACAAGTTGCATATCCTCCTCATCCATCTACATCTCAACATCCTTAGCTGGTTCAGCCAATTCCATGGGTTCCTCCTCTCCCAAGGTCTCCATCCTCTTCCGGCGCTTCAATTCTTCTAGCGTAGGCGGGACAGGCAGCCCCTCATATTCATCATCTGCGAACTCAATTTTCGCAACAACAACAAAATCATGCCAATCAATCATCGACATCTGCACCCTCTCCAGCTCAAGTTCATCCTCTGCCTGTTGCTTCGCCTGCTCCTATGATCGGTCCCACTCCAGCCGATTCAGGCACCGCTCCAGCACAGTGGTGAGGTCTATCGACCCCTCCTGCAGCTCCTTTGTCAGTGCAGGCACACCCTCATCCGGGCTCAGCACCCTCGAGTACACGTCGGCAAACATGGTGAAGAAAGGAAACATGCTGTGCGTGGGTCGGATTAAGTTAAACTGCGAGTTGGTGCTCTCTCGGTGTGCCAGGCTCGTCAGGAAGTTCTTCCCATTCCGAGCCACGAACTGTGCAGTCAGCTTGATGATGTCGAGCTCCTCCCCAGTGATACCCTCAGGCAGCCGCACCATGTAGAGCTCAGCCTTGGGTGGCACCAGCACCTTGGTCAGCTGTGCCACACGGAAGGGCGCAGAGTGGTCGGGCTTGTCATCGGCGCCATCAGCAGAGTCGGACGGGAGAGGCTGGCCGTCCTCGGACTCCGGCACGGCGTAGGCATCAGTGGCGGGCGAATGTTCGGCGATCTCAGAGACGCGGTGCTGGTAGTAGGCGTGGTAGGGGTCGGAGGACTGGAGGAAACTGAACTTGGCATTGCCCTGGTTGTGGGCGACGATGCGGCGCTTGAACTCGGGCCCGTTATTGACGACGAAGGTGGCCGTTTTCTCGACAATCACCCGGATGTCCGGCGGAGGGTGGATGATGCCGATGGTGCGCGTGTGGGTGGACACCGTCGGTGCGGGCTCGGGCTTCGAGGGGGCGACGCCGATGGACGAGGGAACAATCTGCAGTTGCTGCTGGTGGTCTCCGGCGTCCGGGGAGGAGAGGAGCAGCATGGTGGCCACCGCGGGGGCTCCCGTCGCGGCGGCCTCTAGGGTTTCGGCGACTGGACGAGGGTTTAGACCGGAATCGACGGCGGCGCCTGCGATGCAGGAGGACCGGAGGCGTGGGATCCGGGTTGGAGGGGTGCGGGACTCGAACTTGCTTCGGCTTGTTTGGTTTAGCCAGGATCGCAGCCGATCCGCGTGGTTCGATCCGGCCAGGGACGATTCCGGGCCAGGCCCATGCGTGTTTTGGCTGACTTGACTAGGGGCAGGTTTCTTATATGATGCTTGTTAGCGTCAAATCTTCGCAGAGCGAGCAACCCGTCGCTTCCACTTGGAACGGCCCATCATTCGGCTTCGGTCTTGTTTCTTCCTTGCAGGATCCTTGGGCCAAGAGGTTTCTGGCCGGTTTTGGGAACCTTTTAGAAGATTCCTTGAATGTGTTTTTTCTGTTTTGTTTTTAACCGGGTTTTTTCGACTTCTTTTCCTTTTTTTGCTTATTTCTTTCTTTACTTTACTTTTTTCTCTTTTTTTTTGCTGTTTCTTTTCTCTGTTTTCCATTTGGTAGTATATAAAAGGTCCACCGTGTATTAAAAAATGTTCATCGTATATTAAAAATTAATTCACCATATATAATGAAAAATTTCACCATGCATTATGTAAACATTCATCGTATATTAAGAAATTGTTCACTTTGTATTTTAAACTTGTTTATCATATATTAAGAAATTGTTCAACGTATACTACAATATGTTCATTGTGTATTTTGAAAACATGTTCAACATATACAAAAATGTTCAATGTGTTTTTACAATTTTTTCGGCGTATATCACAAAAATATTCAATGTTAATTTAAAATTGTTGAGCCTATATAAAAAATTGTTCATGTTTACAATTTTTGTTCACTTTTCCCAAAATTGTTCTCGTTTAGAAGTTGTTCGAATTTTGAAAAAATATCTTCAGACTTTCAAACATTATTCGCATTTTTAAGGAAATTTGTTCACATTTTCTCAAAAATGTTGGAACTCTCCGAAAAACGGGTCCGCCGCAGTAGTCGCTAGTTTGTAGCGTGCAGGCAGGAGTTCGAGTCCAGGTCCCTGCTTTCTAATTTAATTTTCATGAGTTTTTACATTCAGTGCCTACACATACAAAAGCAAATATTTGCACGCAACGCGGGCAAGAGGGTTGTCAACCCCCTTGAACTTGTTACTTGCAAAGATTAAATCTTGTATGGATAGATATATAAATTGTAGAATAAAATAAAAGTAACACCTTAAGCAAGATGACATGATGTAGACAAAGTAAACCCAATGAATATGAATAAACCCCGTCGTTTTACCCTTAATGGCAACAATATTGATATGTGTCTTGTCCCCTACTTTGTAACTGGGATATAGAGCACTGATGACCCACAAGTATAGGGGATCTATCATAGCCTTTCGATAACTAAGAGTGTCGAACCCAACAAGGAGCAGAAGGAAATGACAAACGGTTTTCAGCAAGGTTTTCTCTGCAAGCACTAAAATTATCGATAACAGATAGTTGTGTGATAAGATAATTCGTAACGGGTAACAAGTAACAAAAGTAACTAAGATGCAGCAAGGTGGCCCAATCCTTTTTGTAACAAAGGACAACCCTGGACGAACTCTTATATAAAACAAAGCGCTTCCGAGGACACATGGGAATTACTGTCAAGCTAGTTTTCATCATGCTCATATGATTCGCGTCCGTTACTTTGATAATTTGATATGTGGGTGGACTGGTGCTTGGGTGTTGTCCTTCCTTAGACAAGCCTCCCACTTATGATTGACCCCTCTCGCAAGCATCCGCAACTACAAAAGAAGAATTAAGATAAATCTAACCATAACATGAAACATAAGGATCCAAATCAGCCCCTTACGAAGCAACTCATAAACTAGGGTTTAAGCTTCTGTCACTCTAGCAACCCATCATCTACTTATTACTTCCCAATGCCTTCCCCTAGGCCCAAATCATGGTGAAGTTCCATGTAGTCGACGTTCACATAACACCACTAGAGAAGAGACAACATACATCTCATCAAAATATCAAACGAATACCAAATTCACATGATTACTTATAACAAGACTTCTCCCATGTCCTCAGGAACAAACATAACTACTCACAAAGCATATTCATGTTCATAATCAAAGAAATATTAATTATCATTAAGGATCTGAACATATGATCTTCCACCGAATAAACCAACTAATATCAACTACATGGAGTAATCAATACTACTAGCAACCCATAGGTATCAATCTGAGGTTTTGAGACAGAGATCGGATACAAGAGATGAACTAGGGTATGAGAGGAGATGGTGTTGGTGAAGATGTTGATGGAGATTGAACCCCTCTCGACGAAAGGATCGTTTGTGATGACGATGGCTTTGATTTCCCCCTCCCGAAGGAAAGTTTCCCCGGTAGAACAACTCCATCGGAGCCCTAGATTGGTTCAGCACAGGTTCCGCCTCGAGACGGCGACGCTTCATCCCAAAAGCTTTCTTCTCATTTTTTCCACGTCAAAACACACCATATAGCATAAGATGGGCGCCGGGGGCCTGCCAGGTGGCCCACAAGGCAGGGGGCGCACCCAGGCGGTAGGGCACGCCCCCACCCTTGTGGATGGCTGGTGGCCCCCCTCTGGTGCTTTCTTCGCCCAATATTTTTATTAATTCCCAAATGACTCTCCGTGAAGTTTCAGGACTTTTGGAGTTGTGCAGAATAGGTATCTAATATTTGCTCCTTTTTCTAGTCCAGAATTCCAGTTGCCGGCATTCTCCCTCTTCATGTAAACCTTGTAAAATAAGAGAGAAAAGGCATAAGTATTGTGCTATAATGTGTAATAATAGCCCATAATGCAATAAATATCAATATAAAAGCATGATGCAAAATGGACGTATTAACTCCCCCAAGCTTAGACCTTGCTTGTCCTCAAGCGAAAGCCGAAATCAAAAAATATGTCCACATGTTTAGAGATAGAGGTGTCGATAAAATAAAATACGGACATGAGGGCATCATGATCATCTTTAGAACAACAACATATAATGTCATATAATTTCTTATGCCAAAGTAACAATTCGTTCACAAGGTAAAGTATGAATCAAAAACTTCATTGAAAACCAACAAAATATTATCTCAGTCATTGAAGCAATTGCAATTTATCATAACATCGGTAAGAGTCAATTTAAGAGCTTTTCAGCAAGTCCACATGCTCAACTATCATTTAGTCTTTCACAATTCCTAACACTCACGCGATATTTATGGGTTCAAAGCTTCAATTGGACACAGAAAAGATAAATGCTTATAGTTTCGCCTCCCAACCTTTTACCTCAAGGGTAATGTCAACAATAATACTTTATGATAACCTACATCCGAGTGGATATATATATATATATATATATATATATATATATGGATCT